GGCGTCTTTCATCACAGACAGTATCTGGTTAAAAAGCTCTCCAATGCAGCCGAGTGGTACCCATGGAGAAGAAGCTGGGCTGACTGGAGGCTTACAGACATCCATGGCTCATTTGTACTTTCGATTGAGGCTTCTAATTTTGGGGGAACCGGAGAGATGGCTCTGTGGTTAAGAACACTTGCTGCTCTTGCAGAGGACCCGGATTTGGTTCTCAGGGCACTATGTAGTGCTCCACGATTGTCTGTAATTCCAGCCCCAGAGGACCCAACGCCCTCTTCTGGCCTCTGTGAGCGCTGCATGCATGTGGTGCACTTACATGAAGGCACAACACTCATACACAAAATAAATTCATCTCTAAAGACTCTAGGTTTAATAGAATTTGACCTTTTGAAAGAGTGTCGACTCAGGGGCCAGCAAGATGTTTTTTAGTGGTGCAGGTGCTTGATGCAAGCCCAACGTTCTGAGTTCGACCCCTGAAACACACACTGTAGAAGGAGAGAATGATTGAAGTTATCCTCTGACTTCCACATGTACTCTGTGGTATACATATGCACACACACACACACACAAACACACACACACACATGCAGGCACATGCACAAATAAATAAAACTTTCTTATAATAAATAAGAAAAATGTAAAAATATCAATCCACATCTGTAGTTACAGGCTGGTCTGAAACTTACAGTGTAGCCCAGGGTAGCCTGGAACTCACGACTCTCTTGCCTTAGCCTCCTAAAGGCTGCAATTATGGATGTGTACCACCATATCTGGCTCTAATGTGGAACGTTTCCCCCATGTGGGCACTGGTAGACTTTCAACTATTTTGGAAAATGTAGACGAGTAATTCTCACTCTTACACTAGGATCAAATGGATGTTCTGTAAACACATCTTTCTGGACCTCAGCCTCAGAGACTTGAGTTTAGCTTAAGAATCCCTCACCATATGGGAGAATTTTGATGGGCACAGCCTCATTTTTCAGGTAAAGTACTTTGACTTAAACTTATAATTAAGAAAACTGTTAAAGTTGGCATTTCCCCAACTTCTAATTTTTAGAAACCAAAACACATGAGTCGTCCTTTTCAAGAGTCAAGTGTATCTGATTTTTCTTATGAGCATCAATGTTTACTGTGCAGTTCGTACTTCATTCTTAAATCTGTGCAATTCAGTTGTGGAGTAAGATAATAGTAAGCATAATTATCTAATCGCTGGCAGTTTGTGGAGCCCACTTGCTAAGTTGTGTTCCCTAAAAGAAGGTGTTGAAATGTTAATGACTTGGAAACAGATTTACCTGAGGAGCTGAGGCCCTGAGATCTCCCCCTCCCCGAGGCTGGACCTGATGTTCTCACAAAACCTGGACACAGGCACACAGAGGGGGATGGCAGTAGGAAGTGACAAAAGAGAAGATGGGGGACTAGAGTGGTGTGCTGCAGAGGAGTGCCAAAGACAGCCCACCAGCTGCCAAAGGCTGGAAAGATGCACGGAGGGCACGCACCAAACCGGCCCTGATGACCTTCATCCCCCGGGTCTCCCTGCTCTGGAACCGGGAGACTGGCCACCCAGTTTCAGCGCTTTCTTATGAGCTGGTGAAGAAACAGCTGCTAAACACACAGCTCACAGGACACAGGCTGGGTTTGAATCCACGGCATGGAGTCTGACTTTTGAAACACAAACTCAGCTAAGGCAAGAATCAAAGCACGCATGAAACCCCTCCTCCACCTGCCCTCTTAGAATGGCTTTAAAATGTGTACAAGATACTGCATTAGAAGCCCAAGTGTATTACAATTACTTCAGAATTTATTAACTCAAAAGGTTACAGTAATCTCACATATTTTGCTATTGAAACATGAGTTTAAAGAGTCTGCTAGTGGAGTCTCTTAGTGATATTTAAAATAAATGGTATTTTGAAATAACCAGTATATTAAAATGTTGAATTATACTGTGAAAATGCCACAAGTTCTGTTAACTCGGTCACATCGCCATAACTTAAACAAATGAGCCATCTCAGCTAGAGAATAGTGGGAATACACGTGTACAAAAGTCCCCACATTTGGGAGTACATAAGTTCCCGCATTTGGGAGCATGCGTGTACATAAGTCCCCACCCTTAGAAATGCACATGTATGTAAGTTCCTACATCTCCAGACACTCTCAGAATTCTGTCTGTGGATAGCTTTACGGTGGAGGGATCCCAGATGAAAAACACTCGAAGAGGAAGCCTCTTGGGTTTTATTCAGAAACTTTGTCAGTTTGACAGAGTTGGCCTAAATGTGGGTGACAATCAACAGTTACTTTGTGGGTGCCACTGAAGGAGCAAGCCAAAGACCACTGCAGGCTCCTCTGCAGGCTCGGTGCTCAACACGTGGGTTTGGCTGCCACGAGAGCCAAGCACCTGAAACTGCTTGGGACCAGATGTGTATCAGATTTCGGTTTTCTTTTTACAAAACCAATATGCGAGCAGACTTTATTGACAAAGCATTTCCAATCCAAGACTCCAGTCTGAAATGATCTGAAATCCAAAGCCACACTCAGAAAGCCTAGGATCCATGAGCACTTTAGGCGAGGATGCTCTGCCTCTGCTCCCATGGCGCCCGAGGGAGGCTGTGGGGCTGCTGCTTTCCCTGGCCCACAGCCACGGGGTTTCCCATGCATTCCACTTACAGTGTTCTCTAGACTGTGGAAGAGACACTGTGGGTCCTGGCCCGACCATGGGTAGCTTCCTAAGGGGCTGGTCTGTGACTTTGAATTTCCAACAGTTCAAATGGGTGTAGGGTTTTTCAATCCTTTTTCCTTGTAGAGTCAAACGATCATGCTCTAAAATAAATCCCTTTTTATGTGTGCGCCTGTGTGCACGCGCACCTGTTGGGGTGTGTGTGTGTATACTTGTGCAGGGGTTAACCTCATGGGTCGTTCCTTAGGAACCATCCACTTTGTCTTTGGAAAAGTGGTCTTTTACTAAACATGGAACTTGCCAAGCAGGTTAGGCCAGCCAGCCCTCAAGCTCTAGGCAGTCTGCCTGCCTCTGCCTCCTTAGCACTGGGATTGTAAGGGTCGACGTCTACACTAGGCATTTTTTACATGGGTTGTGGGAATTGAACTCAAGACCTCCTGCTTGCAGGGGAAGCGTTTCATCAGCTGAGTTCACTCTAATCCTTTTTTTTTTTTTTTTTGGTGGAACAGGTTAAAGTAAATGCTGCTCTGTCAGCTGAACAGACCAAACTGGCTATAATTTACAGTTCCTATGAAGGACCCTCTGCTCTGCTTTCCCCCTTCACCAAAGCATTGCCAGGCAACCTCACACAAACAGGACAGAATGCCGCCGAAAGGCCTGCCTGTTTGTTTGATTGCCTACTGTTCTGAATAGGTCACCATACCCCTCCGGATTTATATCACAAATACAAACACTCTAGAAATACATAAACTACCTGGAAGATTCTGATCCTTTCCAACAGAGTAGCCCATCACTGTCTAATAAAGTAAAACCATGTATAAAATGCTAAAATGGAAAGCCTAAACTTGCCCAATCCTTCGCCAGCCTATGAGTTGGCTTGGTGGATATTAAATGGAGTTCCTTTTCTTATAGGGAGACACCTTGTATCGAACGTTCCAGGTGAGCCAAGGGCTGTTGGCTTGGCATTCCTCTTAGCCAGAAAGCAAGGTGAGGGATACAGTTACTTCTCAGGCCAAAACAAGTCCAACATTATGTCATAGAAAGATCTCATGAAAAATGACCTCAACAACATAGGAAAAGCAAAACCAAACAGCATGAAGACAAGCTGTACCAACGGCCACAGTTCCTCATTACCAAGCTTTTCTGTGGAAGTGAGTTCATCGAAATCTCTGGATTGAATTGACTCATCTTTTTTTTTTTTTTCTGGTTTCTTCACCCCTATCACCACTTCAGGATCTCTCTCTCTCTCTCTCTCTCTCTCTCTCTCTCTCTCTCTCTCTCTCTCTCTCTCTCTCTCTCTCTCTCTCTCTCCCCCTTCCCTCCCTCCCTCCCTCCCTTGCTCTCTCTCTCCCTCCCCCCTCTCTTTCTCTTCTTCCCTCCCCTACACTATCACACAACTCTAAATTGATTTTTCAGAGGCAAGCATTTCCAATAGGGTGAAAATACTTGCTTTTAAAATTACAATCTTGATATAAGAAAACCAGATGTGATTTTTGTATCTAACTTCTCGAAACCTATTTGTGAAGTTTCCGCGATATGATCCAAACTTAATCAAAATCCAGTTGGCAAATCTCTGAAAGTCCCAGGCAATCCTAAATTATTTGCAATTTTGTTAGCTAACAAACCAACCAACCAACCAACAAACGAACAAACGGGCACAGCCATTTAAAATCCAAATTGAGCATAGAAACCAAAATGTAAGAAAGAAATAGACCTTGGGTCAGAATCTTGCCTCTAGTTCGGAAAGCCCTTCTCTTTAAAAAGGCCTTTTCTGAAAAGCCAATTTGATGATGGTTGCTTCGATTTCCCTCTAGATTATAAAAGCTATTAGATATGCCTATTTAAATACCGGGAAAGTACCAACCGTTCGGGAGAGTGACCAAAGCACCTGTAAACTTGAAGCTTTGTAAACAACGCTTTTAAAGAAGGCATTTTTAGTTATTTTTCACTCTAGGAACTCGGGTCTTTCCTGGTTTCCCGGTTCACTGACGTTATCAGTAGCTCCAGGAGCTGGGAACCTGCGGGAACTTTAGCGAACTTTCAAGAGGGTGCGCATGGGGCTTCCCAAGGCCTCCATGTTTCCCAGTCCAGAATGCTCCAAACAAAATCCCGAGCCCCCAGGAAGCGACTGCCCTGCCCCTGAGCTCACAGCACCCACAGATCACAGTTAGGAAAGGTCACTAGGGTCCGAGTGAGACGGACAAAGAGAGTGAGCGTGAATTCTGCCCACCCTGCTGGCCGCAGGTCTGGCCTAGCGCTCGTCCCACCGCGGGGGACATCGAGTGCGTTACCGGGTGGGGTGGGGTGCGGGGCGGGGGACTAAACTCACCACCACCGCCAGCAGCAGCAGCTGCAGGGCGCACCGGCCGCCCGGGCTCCGCGCCATCGCCTCGCTCCGCCGCACCCTCGCCCCCGGGCCTCGCCGGCGCCCCGCGGATCCTCCTGGCCAGGTCCCTCGGGTGGCCGCCCCTCTCCGCCTCAGCCCTGCCTGGGGTGCGGTTGCAGGTGTGGCCGGGTCAGAAAGGGTAGCCAGGGGCCCGCCGCAGCCTGGAGGTGGGGAAAGCGCTCCGCGGGGAGGTGCGAGCCAGTTCCCGCCCTCCGCACCTGGGGCGGTGACGTGCCCTGCTGGGGACCTTGGGTGGCTGGCCCCGCCCCGTCGTGTTTCCTTCCCGACCCTCTCCTCCCGGATCAGGTCGACTAGAGAACCTCCTAGTTAGCAGCTTGTGAAGACCCCAGGACGGAGGATCTAAGGAGCGGGACTCAGGGAGCCCACGATCGCAAGGCAGCTATGGGAAAGGGCTGGCCATGCGGCAGTGAGCGCAGCTGGCGACGGGGAGACACGCGAGCCAGGCTTCAGTAGTGTCCCTTTAAAGGCCTCTCACCTCTGTGGCCCTTTCCAGCAGGTTTGCAACTTTGCTGGCGCAGCGAGGAGACAGTGGAAGACTCACCAGCAGGGCAAGAGAGACAGGTCTCTGACCTGCTGAACTCGGTTAGTAACCATCAAATATCCTGGGCTGCTATACGAATACAAGCAGAAAACCTTAATCAGTCTTTCTGCAGTGGACAGCACCTAAGGACTCAGTGACGGCTGCTAAGATTAAAGTAATATTATTGCAAGAGTAAGGAAGTACACGTTAAATTGATTTTTATTATTATTATAATTCCTATTAATTTTAGACATAGTCTCACTTAGTAGCCCAGGCTGACCTTAGACGTGAGAGCCTCCTGCCTCGTCCTCCCTGTCTAGTTCTGTGATTGCTGGTGTGCTACCAGGCCTGGCTAAAAGAACGCTTGAAAAGTGGAAACTGAATATGGGCGTCAGGACATAGGAGCCAGCACAGGTTAGGAAAATGCCCTGTTGCACCTAAGAAGTACAGTATTACAGAAAACACTCAGGTACATTTCAATATGTTCGAATATATTTGCATTAGCTAGCCGCACAAATATATTTTGAACTAACACATTATAGCATGCATTAGCTAGCTGCACAAATATATTGAACTAACACATTATAGCATGCATTAGCTAGCTGCACAAATATATTTTGAACTAACGCATTATAGCATGCATTAGCTAGCCGCACAAATATATTTTGAACTAACACATTATAGCATGCATTAGCTAGCTGCACAAATATATTTTGAACTAACACATTATAGCATGCATTAGCTAGCTGCACAAATAGATTTTGAACTAATGCATTATAGCATCTAAAGAAAGGTGTTTACCATAATCATTAGCTAATGGGGGAGCTTTGGAAGTGTTACTTTCACCTTGTTAACATTTCTGTTTACTTCTGGCTGGTGTTACAGTCCTGGAAGATCCTCTATGCACAGAGGGCTGATAGGAAACTGGCAAGACCAATCTGTCACTAAATTTAGCCCAGCTAGCCACACAAGAGTTACTTCTAAAGTCACAAGTGCCTCCCTCTTTTCTTTGAGCGTCCCCTACCGTTTGTCCCTCAGTTTCAAACTGACACGGTTGCACAGTTCAATACCACCCTCATCTATCTTGTTGACGGTCCTTTTCCAAGTTGGCAAAGGCTGGCTTGGAGCTGAGAGGCGCCTCCTCTTGTTTATGGAGTTTAGTTACCGGCCCACTTACCCTGTTTATATATGGTGGTTGGTAAATGAGCTGGGGGCTGAGCTTAGCTCCCCATGCTGCTGCTCACTGCCCTGGGAGTGGAGTGGACCCCCCTCTGCCCAGTGACAGTACAGTTAGATGTAGAGAGAAGATTGTCTTTTGGTTTTTGCTCCTCCCTCTTGAAGTAGATGCAGGTGCCACATATCCGGTTGGTAATTCCCACTCTTCACAATGCTGGAAGAACTCCTAACTGGAGACAGCAGGATTTACCAAAATGTGTTTGCAGACCTTCCCAGGATGCTTCCTGTCAGCTCTGCCTAAGAGTGCTCTTGCCTTTGAGTTCTGTAGACTTGTATTTATGCTTCATTATCAAGACAGCAGGAGCGGTTTCCTAAAGAACATCATGGTAGCTTCCAGGGTAAGAACTAGCTAACACAGGTTTTTATTTCTGTTGACTTATTCAGCAGCCTCTGGGGGCTGTCAAAGCCAGCTTCAGGCAGTATTCTTTTTATCAGGCACCTGTCCCAGGACTTGAGAAGTGTCAGTCCTACCTGGGCCATGTGATGTCATCACTTTGCAAATTCTAAGCACTGGGATCAGTTGAAGGGACCTTTGGAGAATCAGTGAATTCATATCTACCTCTTTAGCCCCTGATTTCTCCACACTGGGGTGAGGCTAAACTTATTCCATAAATCTGCATATGAAGCCAAATGTGGCCATTTCCAATGAAGCGGTCAAGATGGCTTTGGGATAGATGGAATTGTTGACAAGATGTGAAAGTTTTAACTTCCAGGCTCCCTACCTAGAGTAGCTTGAGATTATGGTACACATATTTTCTTTAGATGCTTATAAATCATTAGCTTAGAACGTATTTTGTTCCAATAACCATATTCTGATATATTGAAGTTGGCCTAGAGGAATTTCAGTGGTTGAGACTGTTTGTTGCTTTTTCAGAGGACCTGGGTTTAGTTCCTGACACCCACATGGTGGATCACAACCATTTGTAACTCAAATTCCTGCGGGGTCCATCTTCCTCTTCTGACCCCTCTGGACACCAGGTACACATGTGGTACACATATATACACTCTGTCATCATCCCCTCCCTTTCCTACCACCTCTTGGCCTCAGGGATCTTTTTATACACTGATGCTCCTTAGCTAAAGGTCAGATAGATAGATGGCCATTTCATTCCAGTGGCAACGCTTTTCAGTGCAGTATTAGAGTTAATCTTTGGGACTTTGAAAGCCAGACCTGGCTGTTGTCCTGAGAAAATACCTCTCTAGAAACTCATAGAAGTGTGTGACTTTTAGAAGACACAAGGTTGTTGTGTTCAGTAGGCTTACCCACAGAACTTTGATTATTAAAATGTACCAAGTTGGGGATGTAACTCGGTGGTAGAGTACTTGCCCAACTGGTACTGGTATCTTGGGTTTAAGCCCTACCTTGCCTGGTTGCCATGACCAAATACCTGTCAGGAAGTTAAGGAAGGGAGGCAGGGTTTATTTGGCACACAGTTTGAAAGACAGAGTCCATCATGGCAGAGAAAGCATTGGGGTAGGAACGCTGAGCCCTTTGTGGAGAAACCCACAGGAAGTGGGGATGGGCTGTAAAACCTCAAGGTACACCTCCAGCACCTCACATTCCTTAGCTAGACCCAGTCTTTCAATGGTTCTGCAACTTCCCAGAACAGCTCCGTCATCTGGGGACCAAGGGGTTGAACCTATGATTCTGTGGAGGACATTTGACATTCTATCTATAACATTAACACCACAAAAATAGATTGATAGACAGACAGACAGATAGACAGGTCTAAGTAAGTAAGCGATACAAAGACAGAACAAAATATGAAATACCTCGGAGTAACCTACAGGGAGGAATCTGTCTTTAGTTTAGATTTGTGGCAAAAGAATGATTAACTCATCTTGTTTTTCCCTGCTCTCTCGCTGGCTTTCCCCCTTTGGCTTTTAAAGAATGATCTTACATTTATTTTGTCATTTGTGTGTTGGGGGAAGGTGAGTGTGTCAAGGCAGGAAGTCAGAGGGAATGCATATGGAAGTCGGGGACACCATGTGTGTTTCTGGGAGAACTGAGGTCAACAGGCTTGGAGCAATGCCGTTACTCTCTGAGCCGTCTTGCCCGTTCTCTCTTCGCCCTTCCCCTGCCTGCTTATACAATGATGTGTCTTTGGGGTATGCTTTTTTTTTTTTTTGCCTCCTCCTTGACACCAGACATAATCTGCAGCTATTTTTACTGTGCAGACCCGTCACATTTTTTTTTTCTGCTAAGCTTCAAACATGGGCCGTTACTGTGTGGCTATTGCATGGGAAACTCAAACGACCGTGATGATTTGGCAGTGCTGTCACCTCGGCACACTGACAGGAAAGGACATCTCTGCCTTGTTATCACCTCTTCAGAGCAAGTGTGCTCATTCCTCACATGCTCCTTAGAGTGAGTGGTGGCCTTGTCACTTAGCTACCCAAGCCAGACCCTAGGTATCATCCTCAGTCTCCCGTTAGGACTTTCTGTATTCGTTAGCGATCACTGTGATGTATGGCTAGCTCATCAGGTCAACTGCTCTACCCATTGGGCTATCTTAAGACTGTTAGTTCCGTAGGAGTGGGGTCCATTTGACAGTCATGGTGGACTCACCCCTAGTCTCAGGTTCACACTGCAGAATCAATAAAAATTGGCTGCACCAAGCCTACATACCAGAAGGAATAAATTATAAGTGAAAAATGAGTATTATGGAGGAAAATGCTTTGAATATTCATCACGAATGAATTGATAGCTTAGTTAGAAAATGTTGGTCTATGGTGTGTGTGTGTGTGTTTTTATCTCTCTCCCTGTGTGGATGTGTTCACATGCAAATTCATGTGATTTGTGTGTATGTGTTTCCTTGGCAACCCTGGAGCCAAACAGAGATAGCAGGTGTGAGTCAGGTTGTGGAGCGTTCTGGTTGGTGGTTGAGAGATTGAAGAATCCAGTATGTATAGGGAACCAAGTGTGACTGGACAGGGAGGGGTAGGGTGACACTGTAAGAGTCCAGGAGCCAACTGAGAGCAGAGTTCAGCACCCTGGAGGTGGAGAAATTAGACAGAACTGTCCTTCCCCTCAATCCTGGTGAAGGAGCCATGTCCTGCGCCCCAGAGGCCAAGGTATTCGTGTCAGTGATGGCTGGGTTGACAAGCGGCATCTGGATTCTCCAGCTTGTTGGACCAGCAGCCAAATGCAGTTTAGGGAGTTAGAAGGGAGCACTGATGGGCTGGGTGCCTCTGATGGCAAGGCGATTCCTGAGAATCACAGAGTGGTAAAGCCAGCGGCGGAGGCCGCTCTCTGTTAATAGACAGTCCGCTCCCTGGAGGCAGACACAGCCCTGAAGACACCGATATTGGAGGAGAGCGGTGCAGGCCTACCACAGTGATCGGTGTCTCCCTGGACAGTTTCCCTCAAGGCCTGTGTGAGTCAGTGCACTGGGACCCGTGACTGTGGGCAGAGTCCCTTAACCTACATATCTTAAGGAAATTGTTAATTGATCGTGAGGTAGAGGAGAAATAGAAAAAAGACGCGAATGTGGAGAAGAGGAACTTGTGCAGTA